AAACAATTTTTAAATATTCAATATTAAGGTTTTATGAATATACAATTGACTTCCTTACAAAGTATGCTGTCACTTATACTTTAAAAAGGAAACATGAATGACTTGATGCTTTGTTCAGACTCGGAATAAATATAAGTAAAATAAAGCAACTTATAAAAGCTTTGAATAATCCATAAACTTTAACTATTAACAATAAAAATAAATCCGTCTGACTGACAATAATACAATCACTATAAAGTAAATGTAAGTAAAAAACAAAAACACGAAAATCAAAGAAAAACTAGTTACAGCAAGAATATACATTTGGAATTTTGCTCAAAAATTTTAATACAGCGTCGAAAAGCCTCGCCCAAATAACGACCCCAACGCTCGTCTGTTTGAATGAAAAAAGGAATAAAAAAGTAGAATTTTCTCTTTGCAAAAAGAGTGTTTTGTTTAAGCTTCTGTCCAGGGAAAGAAAGCCATGGGGATGCAATTAAAGAACTACAAAGAAAAAAAAATAGTTATGAAAATCTCCCACTTTCTTTTGATGTGCTTCAGTCTGAGCCACACACACGCACACGCACACACACACACACACACACACACACACACACACACACACACAAACAGACATCTAGTGCATTCTTAACAAATGTGCCTGCATACATGTACACAAGGAGCGTGGCACTTCAAACTTATAAAATATATTCATTCCACTGAAAACATATACGAGATATTTCATTTTCACTTTTTAATTATCCTTTTTCCTGTCTGTAAAGATTCACGATAATAGGGAATATTTTATAAATTGACGGGTGGAGAATCAGCAAAATAAAGAGAGACGAAAAAACAAACAAACGTGAAATTGAATTAGGATATTTCTGATCAGCTGTTGAGTAAAATTCAAATAGTTGGAAAGCAACAGGGAGAAACGGTGTGTGTATGTGTGTGTGTTTTAATAGGGCTATGAGGTTCGCCCGGTGTGGGGTTACTTTGTCAGGCTGACCTCTTATAGCAGCAGAGCGGCTGAGTTTTGCATACATAATTAACTATAGCTAAATGTCATCTCGCGCTTCAATAACTATCGCAGTGGGTGTTGCTTCTCTCTCTTTTTGACTTCTAATCCGGAGCGAACCGCCGGCAGAACAGCCATGTGAAAACGAAGCGCAGCTTTTTAAAAACCCGAAACGAAGCAAACGAAGGGCTGTGAACGGCGCCGCGAGGGTAAATGAACAGCTCGCCACCGCCTCAAACAATCCCAACCTGTGAAACGACGTTTGAAACGAGCAGATTCTGACGTTTACAGCTGGTTAAAATACAAACATAACCGCAACAAATCCCCACATCGTGCTCGGAGCCTGGCGTTACGCGCGCAGTTTGCGTCCGAGGTGGAGCTGAGCGGCTTTACGTTAAAAGAACGCGCACCTGGCTTGACCGAAAGTTTAAAAAAAAAAAAAAAAACGAGGGGTTCGAGTGGACAAACCAGGAATCTGTGAGCAGCAAAAGTTTACTCCTGACTGATATCTGAATATCAGCCGTGGCTGACGTGTAGGTGTGTGCGAGTGCTCCGTTGCAGCTGATGATGTAGATGTTGTTCTCTACGAACCCAACAGCAAATTAAAGCTGCGATGTTTGATTAAGTGTGCCAGGTGATCTCAGGAGAGGCGCGCAGACACAACCTCAACCCCCTCATTCATTTGTAAGCCTCCAAATACAGGAAGGAGTGTACGCTGTAAACCCCCCCACCCCCTTGATTGGGAATACAAATGATCAAATGTGCGAGGGCTACGAATGCATTGGTACACGGTGTCAGCAAAGCAGCGAGAAGCAGAGAGGTGGAGAATAGAAAGAATTAGGGCTGTGATGTGAGACGGAGCATCTGAAAATAAAGATATAAGCTGCATTGTAGCTCCTCAACTTGAATGTGAGGCACAGAAAGAATAATACATGAAAAAAAAATGTCATTGGTTTGAGATCAATTGTGGAATCAAATAAAAAAAAATAAAATCACATTCAGCCGCACGCTGTTTGTTTTCTGAATTAACAGACGCCTAATTTACTATTCTTGGATAGTTTTAATGACTAGAGAGGTAAACAACTTCACCGACCAAAAGTCAATTATAACTTTATCAGTGCAAACTGTGCGTGGAAGAAGGAATATAGATCTCACAGAAACAAACAAACAAAAAAAAAAAACCTTGATCTTCTAGGGAAGAATGTGTTTTGTTGTATTGAGTATTTCTTCTCGGTGTGCTTGTCAACACATTGATTTTATGACAAAGCGAAGTCGCTCAGAGATTAAAATTAATGTAAAAAAAAATAAAATAAACTACTGTAACTTTTGGCTGAACTTTAGCAATTTTCAGATATGCAAAATAAAAACTTTAAAGAAAGGCACTTTTTTTTTTCCAGACAAGATAAAAACACTTCATGAACAAATAACCAAATAAAAAAAAAACACACACATTAAAAGCAACAAATAATCTTTGATTCATTATAAAATATTAAAAATAATCTGCTTCTTGCACTTTAAATACAAAAAACAGAAATGTGTATAAAAGAAATGTAAATGAGTAATTGGTTTTTAATGTGAAAACCTCCTCAACGTATTCAAAACAACAAATTCGCATCCGCAAAAACCCAACTAATGAAGAACTGTTGATTCATTTCCAGTTTAAAGAGAAAACGTCAAAAGCAGTGAGAGGCTGCAGCATCCTTTCTGACCTGTTACCAATTACTCCCGTATTTAGATCTTTCCTTCTGCTGCTAAACGGAACTGCTACTGGCTTGGTAGTTTTCGTAATAGTCAATAAATCTGAAATATTATGTGTGAAGCTGTGGGAAGAGACGTTAAGGGGCGGGCACTTGTGGAGCTGGAGTAAGGGTCCTGTCTGAAAGAGGATGGATAATTCAGGACAACTGTGACCTTTGAACCTGCTAAAAGCCCGGCCAGTGGTCAGCCGAGCCGTGTAATGAAGTCCACATGCGCTCACAGCCTGCGCTGCCGTAATTAGACGGGCCTCTGAAGGCTTGCTTAAATCAACATCAGAGCACTTTATTCTGGACCTGAAATAGGAACAAACATCGCCTGCAGCCTTTACCTTTTAACTCATTTTGTGCTTTATACGTTCACAGAAAGTGATGCTGGACTTGCAACGCGAAGATAATAATTACTTCATGAGTCTCAGGGCTTTGGTTTCGCTCTGAATAAAACTCAAGCGCTAAGTATCCGGTGTTACAATGAGAACTGGGAGAGAAAGGCAGAGTGGTTTTAATAGCTCGGAAGCAGCACGCGGCGGCTCAGCCCAGGCAGAGCTCAGCATTAATCAGGATATCAGGCCCCAGCTCAACAAACTGCACAATGCCTCAAACATCTCCTTGTGTGTAAACACTAACATCAAATGCCATGTGGCACGTTCTCGTCAATAACAAGCAAACTAACAAGAGACCTGGAATTCTCCTCAATTAGTACCTGCTCTCTGGTATTAATCTACTAGCCTCTGTGAAAAGATTAGAGGAGACAGAAGGGGGGGAACAATCTGTATGGGAATTAAAAACAACAACAAAGATTTGTTCCGATAAATATATTAATGCCAGTGAAGTTTCTGCTTCAGGTGGTGTAATTTGACACGATACGCGGGCTATGTTCTGTCATTAGTCAGGAGAAATTGGTGAGTGGAGGATCAAAGCAAAGAAGGCACCGAGCCTGCCACTTAATTTATCACACGGCAAAGACAAAGGCTTTTCTCTCTTGCTTCTGTCGCTTTTCAAAAGCTTCAACTCTTTTTTTTATGACAAACTCAGTTTGCGATTTAATTTAGGGCTTCAGTCCCCCAGGTGCAGAAAAGCACGCAGGCAGGAAGTGAGAAGAAGGTAGTGCAGCCAGACAGGCGCGCAGAAGTGCGAGAAGCAAACAGCGGGTGCAAGAGACGTCCAGGTTGGCGGGAAGTACTGCGAGAGAGACGAGTAGGCAGACAGGTGCCACGAAACCCGAGCAGCCGGGGAAGCAATAAGGCAGGCAGGATTGAAAGTCGGCAGAAAAATGTTATAAAGTGCAGGAAAAAACTCGCTCGGTAAAGAGACGTTCGTACACGCGAGCAGTCACTGCAGGCAGGGCAGTGCTAAATCAGGAGAACCAGAAAAGTGTGGGAGTGTGCGCAGGTCTGGGGTCTGCTGGGCAGTCGATTGAATTATGTTCTGCTGGTGGGGTAGGAGTCCAGTAGGCAGTGGAACCGGAGTACATACTGTTAGCAGCGTGGGTAATGGTGCATCCACAGCCTCAGCCGAGGTCTCAGAGCCTCACAGAGGCGCTTTAATACACACACAGTGAAGACGAACCAAACAAACAGGGTCCGACTAAGACGAGGGAGACGAGCGCGTGTGCTGTTCTTTATGTGTGTGAACGTGCGAGTGACCCTGATGCCATGGTGATGCTTCCTGTAGCACTGACCAGCGTCAGCGCGCCATTAATTAAAGAGACGGCGCGCTGGCAGGTGGCTCCGCTGCCCACACTGGTAATTGGCCCCTTTCTTCCCACTCTCTCCCCCCACAAAATCACCCATCTCTGCCTTTTCTTTCTCTTTCTAGGCCTCGTTCCCTCCTCCTATCTCTCGTCCTCAGAAACGTGCCAGTGGGCAGGCAGAAACGCAAGACTTTGTGAAATAATGATTAGAATGGATGAAGATGAAGGGAAGGGAGTTGCACATTTTCCCACAAGCCTCTGATGGTCGGGGAACGCTGGGTGCCTTCAAGCGTCATACGACGCGACGGGAGTTTACTTTAGACAGCCACAATCTGAGGAGCTGCAACTGCAGTCATTAATGATGTGGGGAGGGGGACAGAGCTGTACTTTGACAAGTTTCTGGATGTGTGTGTGCGTTTGTGTGTGTGAGCAGAAATGCGAGTCTGATTTTACATAGGAGGGAAGAAGGGGAATTTAACCCGATGTTTGGCGTGTTTAATGAGACAATAAAAGTGGAGAAGTTGTGTGTGTGTGTGTGTGTGTGTGTGTGTCTCACCACATCGCTGGGGAGGTTGTGCAGGTCATCAAAGGGAGTCTCTTGGGTGTTTGTGTCCACATTCAGAATGACCACATCCTCCAGTGATCTACTGCGCACTCGCTATAGGAGAATATATATGTTTAGACGTATAGTGAGATCCAAGAAAGCTTTTAAATACAAATATTTACAATACTTATAAGTGCAGCCAAAAGGCTTTTATAGTAAAAATGCATTTTTGTACATTAAAAAAAATACAGCCCTAACTATTTATCAGGTTAATTATTCATTATTACACAACTAGATTCCTGCTGAACTGACAAATTTATAGTACAGAGTCAGAAAGTATCACTATTACTCATCAAATTAGGGTTGACATTTCTGCATGTCTGACATTTTTTCATACAACTGGATTTACTTATTAGAGTTTAATATCACGTTAAAATTACAAATTTGTTTTTGGCATAGGCGAGTTTATTTCCTGAAGCTTTGAAAATAAAATAAATAAAAAATAAAAATAAAAACAGCGACCACCTAAAAATCAATTATGACGTTCAAAAACTGCACAAAGAGGTCAAAAACTTTAGAGCACGTTGGCTGCAACAAACGCTTGTTAACAGGATGAAGAATGGAACAGAGGGGGAACATTTGGAGAACGTTTTCCACGGAACCACAACCTCATGCATCAACAACAACGCGGTGATGCTGCGCGGCGCGGCGCGCATCCTGATGGCGACAAATTCAACAATTATTTCAGCGCGGTGCAGGAGGACGCAGGCAGGTGTGTGTGTGTGTGTGTGTGGAGGGGGTGTGGAGGCAGCTTAGTGTGTGAATTTCTACTTTGTCACTTTTGTGACAGCCTGTGCAGCGGAGGCTCACATGCTGATCTGGACTAATTATGTAGTGGCGGAAAGAAGGTCTGTCACGGATGCAGAGTGTGATAAATACTGCCACTGCCGCAACTGTCAGACAAGTATCACACACACGCGTGCACGCAAACACACATGCGCATAACATTAGACGCAATTACGCACGCACACAAACACCTACGTGATGACACTTACACACACGTGCAAAATGTGCACCTTCTTGCGTCATGCGTTCACACACAACAGCCGAACTGGTGACGCACCCCCCGCCCCCCAATGGAATCAACGCAGGGTTTAACAATGAAGTAGAAATCTCTTTGTTTGCTGATGATTTTTCTGGCTTTTCCTCTCTCTTTTGTACTTCTGGTTAGGAAATGGAGTTTAAAAGGACAAAAAAAAAAAAGTCCACAGGAAGTGAAAAAGAATTCACTTTTTTGTTATTAAAAGGACAAATTCTCTAAAAGGTTAAGCTGAATTAGGTGGTCATTCGCCTTTGACAGTGTAAATATGATTTACAAACATACCTCCAGCAGACTGAGATGAACTCCCACAAAGTATGGCATCGGGGCGCTGCGGACAGAGAGCGAGCAAATAATCGGCTAATGTCAATCATTATATAACGCATAGCAATAAAATAAAATGTGTTTCAACTCTTGATTATTTATCCATTTCATGTCTTTTAAATAAAAAAAGTGCTTGTTTGTTTCACATAAGCTTCTCTTCGTGATTACATAAAGAGCATGTTCAAAACAATAAAAGTCGAAAGCTAAAACTTTTCCATGTTGGAAAGTGATTATACGCAACCACACAAAAGCTAAAAATATGTACTGAAAACAAGCAGAGGTGAACATTTTTCTTCAGCTCTAAATGTCATAACATGATAATGTCATGTGCAGAAAGAGTTGTGTTTTCTTCATAACCTGTTATGCTTTACCAGAACATTCTGACCCCTGGAGTTATTTTTACACATTCAGGTAAAACAAATGAAGTTTCACTCTTCCAGCCTGAACAGAACGTCAATAAAATTAATAAGAGCACACTTTTAACTAGAGATACTGCATTTCCTGCAAAATGCACCGTGAATGCTTATTGCTGAAGAACTTGCTGAAAATCTAAACATGTCAAGTCTGGTCCTCTGGACATTCAAAAAAAACGAACAAACAAAACAAACCAAAAAAAAGTAGAAACATTTCGTCTTTCATCCGAAAGACTTCTTCAGTCTGAGGTGCTGTATTCAGCTCAGTCTTATAAATAGCAACTTCTCAGAGTTTATAAGACAGAGCTGAATACAGCACCTCAGACTGAAGAAGTATTTTGGATGAAAGACGAAACATTTCAACTTTTTTTTGTTTTGTATTGTTTGTATGGTTTTTTTGAATGTCCAGAGGACCAGACTTAACATTTTTAGATTTTTCTACCTGGATTATTGAGCATGCATCAGGATAACTTGCTGAAAAGCAGCTGAAATAAGCTAAAAACATGCTGAAATATAGCTAAAATGGAAGAACAAGCCTAAATTAGCAGAAGAAAGCAGAAAGAACACGTATATGCTGAATTTTGTTTAAATAAGCAGAAATGAGCACAAATATTAGGAAATTAGATCAAAAAGCTGAAATGAGCAAACATATAGGTGAAAAGTAGCTGAAAAGGCAGAAAGAAGCTTAAATTACCAGAAGGAAGAGGAAGAAGCTGAAATAAGCTCCAAAAATGAGGAATTAGCTGAAAAGGTTAAATTTAGCATAAAACAGCTAAATAGTAGCTGAATTAGCAGAAAAAGCTGAAACTAGCTGAAAAAAAGCTGAAAGGAGCATAACGATCTGAAATTAACAGAAAGAAGTTGATTAGGTTGAAAGTAGCAGAAACTACCAAGAAAAACTTGAATTAATCTGAAAACAGCTGAAATTAGCCAATTATGCTAAAAAATTAGCTGAAAAGGTAGAACAAACTTAAATTAGCAGAAGAACGGAAACATGTTTGTCCGGTTAGGCTAAAAGAAGCAGAAATGAGCACAAGAAAGTGGAAATTATCTGAAAAAGCTGAAAGTAGAAGAAAAAACAGCTGAAAAGAATTTTAAAAGGCAGAAATAAGCTTAAATTACCAGAAGGAAGTGGAAAGAGCACATTTTTGCTAAATTAGGCGGAAAAAAGTTAAAATAAGTACAAACAATGTGGAACAAGTTGAAAAAGCTACAATTAGTATAAACTAGCTAAATAGTAGCTGAAACAGCAGGAAAAAGCTGAAACTTGCAGAAATAAGCGGAAAGGAGCAGAACAAGCTGAAAATAGCAGAAAGAAGTTAGAAGAAGCACAACAATGTTCTAGTTAGCAGAAAGAATCTGAAAGCAGCATAAAACAGCTGAAAGTAGCTGAAAAAATGTTTGCAGAAGAAAGCTGAAAGAAGCTGAACCAGAACAAAATGTGAAAGGAGCAGTAAAAGGTTGTAAACACATCTAAAGATTTGAAGGATGTAAAATGAGCTCAATTCATTTCCTATGAGAAAAATATGGCAGAAAAGGCTAAATATTTCAAAAAGCTAAAGTTGCACCAATACCAACATCCACAGCACCCTACTCCTAGAAGAGCTGAACGTTTTGATTTATGCTTTGTTGAAATAGCACAAAAACTGTGGAACGAGAAAGATACTGAAAAACACGCGAAAGAAAAATGGATCACAATAGTGTGAATGCTTCATAAACATTCACACTATTGTGTGAAAACTGAGTGTACTGTTCATAAAACACATATTTTTACATGCGGCTTTATTTTATGCCAATTTTGTCTTTATTTTAAGTTTAAAACAAAAAACAAATAGTTATTTTATAGTGATTTTCAACCATGAGCTCATCAAATTCATTCATAGTGTCATTGTTTTAAGATAAGCTTCAGGTCAGGGTATATCTGGTCATACAGGCGTGTAATTAACTTAAAGCCTGTGGCTGTTCCACTCTGTTCTGTGCAGCTCTGACTTTTAAAGCTTCAGCTGTAATGTGCATACGTAGACAAATAGACACAGAGCGACTAATTTCATTTAGTTATCACATCGGGCCATGACGACACCCCGGTTATTGAATAAGATAATGATGAGTCTTTGCAGAGTGTTGAAAATCACATTTCCCTGTCAGTGATGAACAGTTTGTTTAAGCCGATGTGTCCACTCTCACACAGGCACATTAAATACATGATGCATGATACAACCTGATGTGAGCAAATGCAAATCTGTAAAAGTTACTTCTACTCTCCGTTCAGCTTCAATCAAGTTTGTTCAGATTTGTTGGATTTGTGTTGGATGGGAGGTAATGAACTCCTGAGAGAGCAAAGCTGATGAGAGCGTGGCGCTACTACTGGCATAAAATATAGAGCGCGGTGATCTGAACTGTTCATTAGAACAGTAGAGAAGGCGCGCCACGGAGTATGCATAGGAACACGAAGACGGTATGAGAAATGTTAAAGTGTGTGAGGCTACACTTGAACGCTGAGGTTTTAGAGGCTGAGCTGGGGTGCATAACTATGGCCTGTGTCTTTAAAGGCACAGACATCACAGGCTGCGACAGAAAAAAAAAAAGAAGCTAAAGAAGTCCTGCTTTTTTTTTTCATCCAAACGATAAAACAGATCGTGTTTGTTCATGTGCGTGCTTTAAAGATGGCCAGCCTCACCAGCAGTAGTCCAGAAGATGCGGGGGCAGCACAGGGATGAAGATGTGCTGCCAGTACATCGGGAAGAGCAAAGCGGCCGCACCGTGGACACACGCAGTTAACTGTACAAAGAAAAAGAGAAGACGAGACAAACTCAACACAACTTTTCAATTCACTCTGTGTCATAGACTATATAACACAGCATCATGTATTATTCTAAAAATATTTGTGGCAAAAAAAAAAAGTTTGACTGAGTCGCGGCAATGCTTTGAGGTGGTGAGCTCAACGAGTCGTTGGTGAAGAGTTTGTGCACATTTTCACGTGAACTTTTCACTAACTTCACTTTCAACATAGCCAGACTCAAATATTAAAGATTTCTCAGTTCACTTATGGGCTTTTTAAACACCTTAGTACAAACATTTACTGTAAAAACATTAAATTTGTTAAAAAGAGAGAAATTGCATTTCCTGCAAAAATGCAGTGTGAATGCTTATTGCTAAAGAACTTGCTAAAAAACAGCTGAAATTAGCTAAAATGTGCTGAAATATAGCTGAAATGGAAGAACAAGCAGGAGAAGAAAGCAGAAAGAACACATATTTGCTGAATTAGGTTTAAATAAGCAGAAATGAGCAACAAATTGAAGAAATTAGATTAAAAAAAAACCTGCAATAAGCAAAAAGAAATAGTTGATAACTAGCTGAAAAAACAGAAAGAAGCTTAAACTACCAGAAGGAAGTGGAAGAGGATGAAATGAGCTAAAAAAAAAAAAAAAAGTGGAATTAGCTGAAAAAGCTAAATTTAGCAAAAAACAAACAAACAGCTAAATCAGAGTCAGAGTTTCTTTATTGTTATTCGCACCTCATGTGGTACATGTGGTGGAGCGAAATTATGTACACAGGGTCCCAGTTACATCCAACAATAAAATGTATAAGAAAAACAGTAATAACATCTAAGATATGAACTAAGAAAAACATCAACTAAATATACACTAAGCACTCATAACATAAAACATTGAACATCAGCACAAACATGAACATGAGTCTGTGAGCAGATGTGCACGCATGAACACATCAACATTGAAACAGATCAGCAGCAACATGAAACAGATCAGCAGCAACATGATATGGTTTTTCACAGTGATTATTCTAGTTAGAGATTCGTGAGTCTAACAGCCTCAGGGTAGAAGCTGTTCCTCAGTCTAGTGGTTCTACACTTAATGCTCCTTAACCTCCTTCCTGAGGGGAGTGGGGCAAAAAGTGTGTGTGCTGGGTGAGTGGGGTCCTTCATGATGCTGATAAATAGTAGCTGAAATAGCAGAAAAAGCTGAAACTATCATAAATAATCTGAAAGGAGCATAACAAGCTGAAATTAGCAGAAAGTAGTTAATTAGGAAGAAAGTAGCAGAGATTATCATGTAAACTTTAATTTATCGGCAAACGGCTGAAATTGGCTAAAATATGCTAAAAATGTAGCTGAAAAGTTAGAACTAGCTTAAATTAGCCTAATAAAGCAGAAAGAGCACACAATTGCCCAGTTAGGCTGAAAGAAGCAAAAGTGTGCACAAAAAAAGGAAATTATTTGAAAAAAGCTGAAATTAGCAAAAACAGCCAAAAAGTAGTTAAAAAGGCAGAAAGAAGCTGCAATTATCAGAAGGAAGTGGAGAGAGCACATTTGTTGCTGAATTAGGCTAAAAAATATTGAAATGAGTGCAAAAAAAGTGGAATTAGTTGAAAAAGCTTAAATTATAAAAACAGCTAGCCTATAGTAGCTGAAATAGAGGAAAAAGCTGAAACTTGCAGAAATACGCTGAAAGGAGCATAACAAACTGAAACTAGCAGAAATAAGTTAGAAGAAGCAGAAAAATGTTGTAGTTAGCGGAAAGAAGTTGAAAGGAGCACAAACAGCTGAAAAAACAACTGAAATTAGCTGAAAGTAGCTGAAAAAAGTGTTTAAATTTGCACCAGGAAGCTGAAAGAAGCTGAACCAGAACAAAATGTGAAAGGAGCAGGAAAATGTTGTAAACAGATCTAAAGATTTGAAGGATGTAAAATGAGCTCAATTCATTTTCTATGAACAAAAAAAAAAAAATACAAACTGGCAGAAAAGGCTAAATATTTCAAAAAGCTAAAGTTGCACCAATACCAAAAGTTATAGCAGGATTGTCCTGAAAGAGCCGAACTTTTTGAGAGGATTTGTTGAAATAGCTTGAAAACTGCAGGACGAGAATCACGCCAAAAACTGTACAGCAGAAAAATGGATCATAATATTGTGAATGCTTCATAAACTTTCACATAATCACATACTTAACATGTTCGCTCTTTTCTATTTGCAACATGGTTGTATTTCTAATTTATACAAACTAAGGACAGAGATAAAGAAAAATTACTTATGCAAAGTTTACTCTGAAAAATATATTATGTCTATTTAGTGTTACTTGTTTTCGATGTCAGTGCGAGTATAAAACTTCAAGTGCAATGAAATCACTTTTTACCAAACAAACAGTAGATGGCTTTGTGCCATCCAAAGCTCAGTTCACATGTCCATAATTATCAATGTGAAAAACACAGATATACGTTTAATATTTTGGCTAAAATTCAACAACAAGAAGCGTAATGTCTTATTTTCTATCCCGGGTACTTATTCAGACCTGGAAGAAGAAGAAAGCATGTTCAATACTTTTCAAAATAGAAAAATCTTTGATGGTTTTTTTTCTTGCTCACAAGCAAAAGCTTTAATAAAGAACCATTTTTCACTGACGTGTCAAGTGTTGTACTAAACATACGAAACGCTCGATTTCTTTGGAGTAAAGAGCAAACTTTAAAACTGAGCATCAACTGTGGCAGGAGCCTGACATGACCCTCACTGCAGACACTTCACTCTCTGAAGCTGCAGACAGCTTTGTCCTCACTATTGACTTCCTGGCCGTGAGTCATCACAACAAAAATGTTGCTTTTACATGATAATATTAAATAAATAAAAAACAAGCTAAAGTGCTGTTCTGAACACAAAGCCGTAAAAAAGTGACTTTATAATTTGCTGCTTTCTGAATCAGTGTCAGTAAACATGGATTGTGCTGTGACCTGCACAAAGGGCAACAAAAGAAGGCTGACAGCAGCCATAAATATCAAAATCATCCCAACTGTTATAACGGAGAAATTACAGAATAATTAGCCTTGTTTTCAACAAATAACGAGCAGCGATCGTGTTAGGACACTGCTTCTTAAAGATGCTTTTTATATTGTCAAGCCAATATTGCACGCAGAATTAAAGTCAACGTCTCCCGTTGTCTTAAAGCAAACATCCCCCTCTTGACATCTCATGTCATGAAAACCCAGCCATTGTAATGACCTGCAAGCGCACGCACACACAGACTGACACACACACTCAGCAGGAGACAGAGGCGTTAGCTCATCCCCCAGATTAAAATAACATGATTAAATATGGAAAGAGAACAGAGGTCTGAGGGGCTCCTGCGGGACTTCATTAGGGCAAATTGCCAAAGAATGAAACATGAGTTAGCCAAGAGAGACTGCGGGCTAGGCCAATACCGCCGGGACCCCGGAGCAGCAGCCGCTGTTACACTGGTGCAGCTTCACAGTCGATGTGTGAAGCGGACACACACACTATCACACACGCACAACTACCAGGAGACCCCCTGCTCGCTGACACACAGAAAGTCACAATTGACCGGCCAAAAGCAGGCGAGCTCGGTGGCTGAAAACAACTGCTGCTGTAGGAGGAGGAGGACCCCCGCCCCTGTGAATCCACCCTCAGATCCAGCCCCGGCATCTGAAAGCTCAGAACATTAAAAAAAAAAAAAAGAGTGCCTCCCTCCTTGCTGGTTTGATTTACCTGCATTCATTTCTCACATCAGCCAGTAAACAAAAAGCAATATTTTTTTCTTATTGTCTCTCACACACAAAGTCCCACAATACTTAAGACTTAATCAACATTTAATTGGTGTCTTGCTCTGTGTATCTGCATATGCATATTTCTGCTTCCCGCTGTCTTCAAATGAAACAACAATGCCACACTCCTGTCAGGATTAATTTCTTGGCAAACAGTTTGTTTTTTTGTTAATTCGGAGAATAAATCAATGCTATGAATATTAATGAGGGAAAGTGAAGCGCTCGGTGGAAAAGCGGCTATCAAAACTATCACACCCTTCTTCCTCCTCTAAAGCGATGATAGTAAGGGGGCCATTAAATCGTGATGAAGAGAGGTCACCAATCTGCCGGCGGATCTGCATCCACACACACACACACGACTCGCACGTGCACGCGTGCACACGCAGTAAGGAGCCAACAGGCTGGTGTATTCCTCCTCTGGGAGTGCGAGACAAGCCCCAGCTATTCGCCGGTACCAGGAGGTAATGGCACAGAACACCTCGCTAACCAACTCCAATTATCTCCACCAGGCCTCAAGGTGAGCCCCCCAACTGGCATGATTTACTCTCAGGTTGAAAGTGAAAACAAGAGTCTCTCTGTGCCTCTTCTTCTCAGGCTGGGCGGGTGAGGCTTGGGGGAGCTGCCTGGGAAAGGAGTCCAAAATAAAGATTAAGATTTATAACGCAAACCTAGATTTCCCTTTTATTTTATTTATCTCCCACGACGATGGCAGCAGCAGCGTGCAGCGATAAGGTAACTTGGAAACAACTTCACAGAAATATCTCACATATTTGCTCCTCTAACTTGGATTAATACAAATCCTTGTGTCCTTGTCCAGGTTTTAGAACAAATGAGGCAAAAAGTAAAAGAAAGACAAATTGAAAAAAAAAGAGAGAAAAATTAATACCCCTCTTTTTTTCTTCTTCTTCATTTAGAGGCGGGCTTCACATGAGAGTGGGTCATGAGAGGCTAAGGCTGATAAAATATTTGCCAGGCTGATAAATAATAGATGAGTGGAGCCAAATGGCTTACACGCTCCACAAAAGACCTGGGTGCTTAATATTCCATTCAATGGAGAATCACAGATACAGTCCCCAAGAACAAATACAGGATTAGGTGCTCGGTCCAGTCCTCGGGGACCAGGGATCTGCCCAGTAATGAGGGGCTGCCTGCCTCTTGCACTGTGTGTGTGTGCGTGTGTGTATAAGTGTGTGTTGCCCCCTCCGCTGAGAGAA